CACACGGGCGCATCAGACGTGTGGACACGCAGAGACGGACATGCACACGGGCGCATCAGACGTGTGGACACGCAGAGACGGACATGCACACGGGCGCATCAGACGTGTGGACACGCAGAGACGGACATGCACATGGGCGCACCACTGCACGTCAGTACTTCCAGCTGCAGAATTGACTCTTGCACGTGGGAATCCCCCCTCCGCCCTGGGCCTCCCAGAGACCCACCCCAGGCAGGGTGGGTGGTTGACCGGAGGCCCTGACATGCCTGGCACCTGCCTGCCCACAGGCCACGTGTGCTGCTCTAGCCGCTGGTCTGGCCCACCCTGGGAAGCCGGGCAGCCTGTTGCTGCCACAGCTCCAAGGACCAGGCTAAGAGATGAGAGGGCCCTGGTGGGGCCGGTTCAGGTGCCGGGTCTCAAGGGGCAGGGGCCTAGCCCGGCTCTCTTTGGCTGAGACTCTCGCCAGAGCCTGTGAAGCACCATCCATGGGAGATGAGGCCCGCTAGGCCCTGGATGGCTGACGTCTCACCTGCAGGTGTGGGCATCTGGCTGACCCCTAGCTTGATGTTGGATAGCCCCGAGGCAGGGCGGGCCCTTGGCCAGGAGAACCACGCCCTGCGGAGCCTGCGGCCACCCAGCAGCAGGGTGAGGGCCGAAGCGTCCAGCAGCAGCTCTAGGAGCTCCAGGAGGGAGAGGACAGAGGCCCCAAACCACAGGCTGCAGAGGCTGCCCATGGCGGAGAGCAGCTGTGGCACCTGCGGGGGGGAGGTGGGGGCGTGAGGGGCGGGCCCAGGCCCCTGTGCCCCTTCTGTTCCGGGCCAGCCACTGGCTCTGCCCTACCCCGGCCCAGGCCAGGGCCAAGGCTTACCGAGTACAGGGGCGCCTCCTGCACTGAGCGGTAGTTGAGCTCCTGGTAGATGATGTTCATTTTGGCCAGGTTGCTCCTGGGGCGGGATAGAGGTGTGAGGGTGCTGGCCCAGACTTTAATGATGGGGGGGTGCAAGGGTAGAGAGGCTGGGATGCCCCCCTGTAGGGTGAGGGTGTACCCACCTCTGCCCGTGGCTCTGACGTGGCAGTCGCTGCTCACCAAGCGCAGCCAGAGTCCAGTCCTGCACACGGAAGGTTTGCTGTGGCCACGGCTCCACCACCCCCCCCGGCCATCCCGGCACCATGGTGGGCGTGGGGGCAGAGACCACGGGGCACAGGCTGGGTCGGCCCGGCCCTCCTTGTCTTGGGCTCTTTGGGGACTTACAGCCGACTTGGCGGAAGGCCACCTGGAGGTCCCAGCAGAGACCTTGAATGCAGATTCCCTGGGAGAAACAGCTGGGTGTCACTTGCCGTGCTCCCTGGAGCAGGGACCTCTGGCCCTGACCCCAACAGCCCCCTCTCACCTGCAGGGCCTGGGGCAGCGGGAGGCACAGGGGAGCCGGTGGGTCTCCAAGTCCTGGTAGAGGCGGTAGAAGCAGTGCCCTGGGGGGGAATCACAGGCACACATGAGGCTCGCTGTGACCTCCTCTCATGGCTGGCAGTGTGGGAGGCCGTGGGCAGGACTCACCCCAGGCAGGGTGCCGGGCGGAGCTGCAGTGCTCAGCCCCAGCCGGCAGTGGGTACAGGTAGTAGCCGCAGGAGCAGGTCTCCACCATCAGCTGCTGGAAGCAGGACACCAGGCAGGCCTGGGGACATGGGGGACGGAGCGGGGACATTGGGGAGGAGGCAGAGACGGTGGACAGAGCCAGGATGTGGGATGGAGTGGACACGGGGGACGGAGCGGGGGCATCGGGGAGAAGGCAGAGACGATGGACAGAGCCAGGATGTGGGATGGAGTGGACATGGGGGACGGAGCGGGGACATCGGGGAGGAGGCAGAGACGGTGGACAGAGCCAGGATGTGGGATGGAGTGGTCACAGACTCCCCCGTGCCCTGCAACGCACCCCGCCAGCCCAGCCTCACCTGCCTGGTGTAGGAGGCGTTGTGCAGCAGTTGCACCTCCATGCCCTCCCCGCCTGCCGTGCAGTGGCCGTAAGGGCCCCCGAGCCGGTGCACCTCGTCCTGGGAGAGACACTTCAGTTCCAGGGGCCCTGCCCTGAGGCCCTGCCCCCACACCCCAAAGCCCAGGTTGGGCTGGAAGCCGGGCTTCAGAGGCCAGCGCACCTCTCGGATGCTGATGGTGGTCTCTGTCCCCGGCCGGATGCTGAAGCTGTGGTGCTCCAGGAAGGGCGTGTGGTTGTGGCCGTGGACCATGACCTTGATGCCGGCTTGCGTGGACAGCAAGGGGAGGTGGGCCTGCTGCTCAACCCTGAGGACCAGGCCGATTCCTGGGAGGCCAAGGGCTGGTGTGAGGCCACCTGACCTGCACCCCTGCCCCAACACCGGCCACAGACTGGCACTCACCGTGGGTGATGCCAGGGCGCTGGGCTGTCCAGATGCCATCAACGGTGTAGCAGCTGCCATGGGTAGGGTGGTGGAAGGTCTGGAACTGCCTGGAATGTGAGACCAAGCTCTGACCCTGAATGCCAGCCACCTGCCACCCGTCATGCATAGCCTGAGAGGCCACGGCCTGCCCTGCTCATGGCTAGCCTTGGGCAGCTCCCAGCATTCAGCGAGAGGGACCCCAGGGGCGTGGCCACGCTGTGCGGGGCGGGACGGAGTGAGCGGCCCCCTTCTGCCACACTCACCGGTCCTGACAGTCCTTGCCGTCATAACTGCAGGAAAGGACAAAGCGGCCATTGTGGCTCCCGTGGCTCTCCTCCCATGCTGTGGGCAGCAGAGCGAGGATGTCCATGTAGTGGAAGCGGTACCAGTCCCGAATGGCCGCCACGCCTGATGAGTAGCCGCGGTAGAAGCAGTCGCTGCCCGTGCTGTTGCACTGGAGGAGGGGAGGGGAGGTCAATTCTGTGGCCACAGCCCGGGGTGCTCTCCCCACTCAGGCCCCAGCAGCGCGGGGTGCGCTCCCCACTTGAGGCCCCACACCAGCAGTCCAGGGAAGCACTCCCAGCTTGAGGCCCTGATGGCTGCAGGCCCCAGCTGTGACGCTCACCAGTCTGAACCCCACTCTGATTCGGCTGCCCGAGTGGCTCAGCCTCTGCAGACGGATCTCCCGGTCCAGGTGGAAGTGGGGATCAAGGGGGGAGACGATGGCAGCGAGGGCGTCTCTCCCTTTGCTGAAGTTGACCTTGTACAAGGAGTGAATGTTCTCCTGGGCGAACTTGTCCAGCACCTCCAGATGGTGGAGGATGGTACTCGGCCTGGGAAGCAGGGCCAGGGAGTCAGAGCTGCTGGCCCGGGGGGCCCACACTGGTCACCCGGGTCACCGGCTGACGGCGGCTGTGTGGCCCCAGCATTCCAGTGTGTGCTGCCCGACAGCAGCGCCTCCCCACTCAGGGCGCCCAGCAGGGTGAGCTGGACACGGAGCTGGAGTCGGAGGCAGCGGCTGCCGGTGAGGTTGCCTTGGAGCCTGGCATGCTCACAGGGCCTCCCATCTTCCCTCCTGGAAAGCCTCAGCCTCCCCCACCTCCCCTCCCAGGCTCCCGAGGGCCTGGGTGTCCTTCTAGGGTGGCACTGATCACACCGAGTCCCCTCCTCAGCGGTCTGAGAGGTCCTGGCTGGGCACGGGGGTTTGAGGAGGTCGTGGTGACCGGGCTACGGGAGCCAATGGGGCTTTGGTCAGGGATGGTTACAGGCCACAGGAGCTGGGGTGGCTGCCTCCCGCCGACAGCCCCGGCCCTCACCGGCGTGGGTTCCCGTCGCACAGGGTGACCAGGGGGAGCAGCTTGCGCTCCGAGTGCACAGAGACGGCCATGAGGACCGGGCGCAGCCAGTGGTGCTGGAAGAGGAGCCCGAGCTGCCAGCACAGCGCGGCCAGGGCACCCAGGAACAGCAGCGCCCAGGACGACGTCTTGAGGCGGTTCCCACTGGAGCAGACCAGGCGGATGGCGCCATGGATGGTGGCATTGGTGCAGAAGAAGGTGAACAGCTCGTGGAACGAGGCGGGCAGCTCCACCAGCCCCTCCTGGTGCCCCTCCTTGGGTGGCAGCGTTGGCAGTGATGATGGCCCGGGCCCAGGGGGCGTCTGCGCTCCAGCCTGCGTGCAAACAGCGGCCTCAGCAGGGCCCAGCCTGCAGCCACCCAGGCCTCCCCACCCCTGCCCGGCCTGTCGTGTCCCTCAGCCCCCAGCGCCCGGCCCCACCTGCTCTGAGGCTCTGATAGGCCCCTCCAGGTGCTCCCACCCTGTACCCCTACTTCTCCCCGGACGCTTGGCGCCCGCCCCGGCACATCTCAGTGTGGCCTTGGAGCCGAGTCTGGGCGGTGGGGGCAGCAGGACTCAGGGAACAGGTGTCCAGGCCCTGCCCGGCCCCGTCTGCGGGCAGCCTTGTGATGGATGGGTCTGTGCTGGTGTCTCTCCAGGCGGCAGGGCCTCTGAGAAGCCACAGGCCAGGTGACCCGCAGAAGAGGTCGGGATTGTGGCATATCCACGAGCCCAGAGGGAGGTCTGGGACCCTGGGGAAGACTTGCCCTTCTTGGCCTTGGTGGCTGCACCCCCTCAGCCCCCAGCGTGGCCATGCCTGCTGAGGACTGACTGGGCCTGGCCCATCCAGCTAAGTCTGGGAAAGAGTCCGGTCTGGACACAGTTCAGCACGTGGGCCCAGGGTGGCCCCACTGAGCCGAGTGCCGGGGCCGGCTGCGGAGACACGAGGGCCCCAGGACGTCCAGCCGTGGCCTGCCCAGCTCTGAACTGGAGACTCTGGGTTCCCAGGCCAGGCCCAGGGCCCAGTGCCCGCGGCCAGCACGGGAAGCGGGGCGGCCGAAGACGTGTTCTGATTCCCACCACACCGGCTTCTGCCGCGTTTCACGTGTCCCGTCCTGGTCTGCGGCAGTGAGGCCTCGCAGGCCGGGGCAGCCTGCTGTGCTTCCCCGGACCCGCTGCCCAGCCCGCTCTGAGGTACTCTGGGGAGGCTGGAGCGAGCCAGAAGCTTGGGGCCAGGGGACACGGGGGTGGGGGCGGCTCCCCTCGGGTGTGTGGGCCTCACATGCCTCCAGGCAGCCTGGCCAGGAGTTCTACCACCAGGCCCAGGGCCCCACTTGCCCCAAGTCCCCACGGCCGGGCTGAGCCTCGATGCAGGGCGCAGGGAGACCTAGAGGCCCAAAGGGTCTTTCGTTGTTTCTTTTCCCCCGAGATGGAGCCTTGCTCTGTGCCCAGGCCGGAGGGCAATGGCGTGATCTCGGCTCACTGCAACCTCTGCCTCTCAGGTTCAAGCAATTCTCCTGTCTCAGCCTCCCGAGGAGCTGGGAATACAGGCACCCATGACCACGCCGGGCTAATTTTTGTATTTTCAGTAGAAAAACACACAATTTTCTACTAAAATTTCCTATTATTTCATGATCCGCCCACCTCAGCCCCCCAAAGTGCGGGGGTGACAGGTGTGGACGGAAGAGTCTTCCTGACTAATTTCCACTCCACCTGCTGCACACATGGGGCAGCCCTTCCCCCCAAGCTGGAGCTGCCAGGCCAGGAGAAGCAGGAGCTCTGGAGAGGGGTCTGGAGGGCCAGTCAGGGCCCCCAGGGTTTCTGAGACGCAGCAGGGCCTGGACCCCATTCAGTGAGGAGTCAGACCCTACCCTGCGTGGGCTGCGCGCCCTCCCGCCTGCATCCTGTGTGCGTGCGTGTGTGTACGTGTGTGAGATAGGACCACACTGGCCTCTCCGCCCCGCACCATCTGGCTCTGTGCGGAGCCATGTGGCCAACACGTGTTCACATGTGGACATCCTGTGGGGCGCGTGGCGCCTTGACACAGGTGGTATCTGCTGTGTTCTTCAGGGGTCCGTCCAGCACACGCTAGTGCCCCACTGGGACACAGTCCCTTTCGGGGTAAGGAGGCCCTAAGGGATGACCTGTCCCATGGCCACAAAGTGGCCCTGTTCCTGGTGGCACATGGGGCCAGGCATGGGAAGGAGACCTCCCACCCAGCCCCTGGTTCCTCAAGGTGGGAGCCCCCCCACCCCAACCCTCCCCACAGTTCATCCAGGCAGGAACCCCCACCCAACCCAACCACCCCCTCCACTGTACCCCAAGGTGGGAACCCTCCCAACAACCCCACGGTTCCTCCAGGAGCTCCTGACCCCCCCAATGCCCCCAGTACCTCAAGGCAGGAGCCCCCACTCCCCCAGCCCCACCCACGGTACCTCGAGGGGGGAGCCCCCCTGTGCAGCTGCTTCCATTCTCCCACCTGAGCTGCGGAGCTCAGCCATTGCAGGGCGGCTGGCAGCTCTGGAGCAGGAGGCAGCCTGAGGCCGGCGGGGTGGCCTCCTATTTAAAACAGGACGGCTGGGCGTGGGGCCATGCTGCAGGCGGGGGAGGGCCCAGCCGGGGCGGCCACACCTGCTCCAGTCCCAGAGGGGAATTCCTGGGGGACAGAGATGCCGGTCTCTCTGCCAGGCGACGCTTTCCCACCCTGAGCCATGCAGCGGAGGCCTGGGGTCCTGACCCTGGCTGAGAGTGAGGGGCAGCAGCTTCTGGAGGGAGAGGAGGGCGGTGTAGGGCCGAGACCCCCTGGGAAGCCCCATCTTTCTCTGCCGGCTCCCGGAACTCAGGCCCCGGGCCGTCATGGACCCCCAGCACTCCCTGCCTTCCCTTCCTGCTCCCCTGCTGCAGCTCTGACCACAGGAGTGTGTGGCTGATGGACACTGGGTGGGGACCTCAGCTCCCAGACCCATGCGTCTCTCAGGACCAGCCACCCAGCCTTTGGGACAGGTGCTAGCGTGGGAACCACCATGGGCCTGGGTGTGGAGACGGCACCCGCTCCCCTGAGTGGGTGCAGGGGCTCGCCCTCCCTGCTGGACACTACGGCCACCACCAGCCATACCATACACAGATGACAGGACACACGCTAAGGGCACAGCACACTTTCAGTCCACACCCACACCACATGCACATCAAAATGCCAGCACACATGAAGGGGACTCACCACACGGTAAGACCCCACACACGCCAAGACGGCGTGCTGCCGTCAGAGTCCAAATCAGCGTCCCAGGCAGATGTCTCCAGCCCCAGTGTGGTCATGTGGGGAAGGCGGCTGTCCCTGTCCCGAGATGTCCATCCCTGTCTCCACTGTGGGACCCAATATGTCCAAGTAGCCTCACCGTCCCAAATGGCCAGCCTCAGCCGGGCCCAGATTGGAAGGGTGGGCTCTGCATTCCTGAGGCCCTGTCCCGAGTGGTGCCAAGTCCCCGGGCTTGGCGGGGGAGCCCGCCACACTGGGCCCAGCCGCAGACCATGGTTCTGAGGAGGGTGAGGTCACCTGCCTGCCAGCTCTGGAAGGAAGCAGCTGCCACCGGTGATGTCCCAAGAGGGAAGTCATGTGGAGTCACCCGGGCCTGTGCGAGTCACAGCTCTGTCACGGCTGTGTGGCCTTCCCGAGTTACTCAACCTCTTTGAGCTGATTTCCTCAAGTGCCAGACGGGGCTGGGGCGCCTCTCCACGCGCGTGACGGGGCTAGCTGATGTTACGGAGACCCCACAGGCCAATGGCAGGGCCCCTGGACACAGCACGGGCCTGAGGTGTCTCCCCCGCCACATCTGGATGGCTTTGCTGCCAAGGAGAGGGACCCGCAGCCTGGGGGCTGCTCGGCAGCTGGGTGCAATGCCCTAGACACCTGCCGGTGATTGAGGCTGGAAGCACCTTGTGCTTCCCTGGCGGAGAGCCTGGCCTTGGTGCAGGGTGCAGAGAGGGAAGGAGCTCAGGTCTGGCCAGAGGGGCCCAGGCCAGCCAAAGGGCAGCTTGCAGGGAGCAAGGCCCCAGCTTCCTGTGGGAGGGGAGCCCTGGCTGGAGGAGGGCACACCTTCAACTCCCTGTGCCCTGCAGGGCCTGAGTCTGACTGCATCTTGGCTGGACCACAGAGCTCCCGGCTCCACTCCCCTCCCTCCTCCCCAGGGAAGCCCTTGAAGGCCTGAGGTTCAGTCACCCACACCCTGTATCAGGACGGAGAGGAGGCAGAGGAGGTGGCCACAGAACACATGTCCAGTGCTGGTGAAGCTAGATGGTCCTTCCTTCTCTTCTGGGCCATCCCCTTCCTGGCCCTGTGCAGGGGGTGTGGGGGGTGGGGGAGTGAACCCAGTCCCTGGCCCATGGGGCTTCTGTGGTCACTGCACCATGGCTGCGTGAGCCTGTATGAGAGAAGGGACAGGCTGGCACCCCTGACTCCCGTCAGCCCCGCGCCTCTGCTCTCTCCCAGGAAGGATGGCCAGGCCACAGTTACTGAGCATGGCTGTGAGCTCACCCCGCCGGGCTGCTGTGGTGGCCGGGCCACAGGTGACAAGGAACTGCTCTGCCTCCCATGCCCGCGCTGCCCTGGAGACTACAGGCTCCTGTGGGACCCCAGGTGGGAACTCCTACTGCAGAGCCCAGTTTCCTCTCTTGGGGAGGAGTAAATCATAAAGTGTGCTATGAACTCTCTGTGAAGCCCTATCCTATGTAGCTGTTAGACCTGCCATGCTTACGCGCACAGAGTACATTCTATGCCCTTATATTTTAACCAAGATATCTGTGCTGAACGTGCTCACAGGCACGTCCCAGCTCTCCACTGCTTTTACATGTTTTTGTTAGCCAATCGGGTTTTGGTTTAGATGGTGAGGTCTGGCTCCAGCCAACGGAGATCACACATAGCAGTAAGGGCGACCCCAAATGCGTAAGGGATACATTTGTCTGTTTTCCTTTGTTCATTGTACTCTGGTGGCGTAATGGCTAATGAGAGTGAGTACCCTTCCTGTATTCCAGGAAGTAAAAATCGCGTTGCTGAAAGATCCTTTGTCTCAGTGCTATTTTTTCTTTGCAGCACCGAGCATCTGTTTCCAACAAGGACAATTTACTGAGGCCTGGGAGCTTCCCACAGAATCCCTGCTCTCCCAAAATCTGGTTGAGATCTCAAGTTTATTTTGCCGTACAGCTCCTTTTCTGGAGCTTTACTTGCTTCCAACAAGGAAGGCAAGTTTTCCTGCTTCTGTGACAATGGAAGGCTGGCAATGTCTGGAGTTTAAGCTCACAGCCAACAGGGAAGGTGAGTTTGAATTTTATTTCCTGTTTCTAGGATGGTAGACAGCAGTCTTAAATGGGGCGCCATTCCTAGGTAAGTAGCTGAATTGGGATTTTGTCTTGGAAATTCTCCTTAATGACTAAAATTGACAAACCAGCTGGTCTTTTTTTTTTTTTTTTTTTT